TTTCATCGCTGCGTTTCTCTATAAAAGTTTTTCTCCACGACTCGGTGTCTAAAAAGGAACGGTGTGTTTCTGGAAACCCTACTTCTTGAGGTTTTAGCGAATTCTTCCAAGAGACAAGAATGAAGAGCATGGTCATAAACCTCTAAGGCCCAAGTTTCAGGATGATCGAATAGCCAGGAACAAAGTTAGCCTGGACCAACATTCTTATGTAACACGCCTATTTTCGCTTAGATGGAAATAGAAGTACAACGTGAACCAATTATGCCATAAATAGAGAAAACGTTTACATATGATATTAGGTCAGTATCCTCACGTTAAATCAAACAACAATATTCACTAGCTGAAGAGCGATACACACAAAACGAACGACAGCTGTAATCAAGAACTGCATCCACCGCCACTCTTGAAATAAACGATTTTTCAAAGAGATATGTGAGTCTTAGAAAAATTTATAGCGTCAGGTTGAACTTATTGTTGAGAATCGGTAAAGATTTGTTTGCATGCATAAGAAATAACTAAATTCACGACAAAAAGGGATATCAGTCTTGTTTGTTTTCTGTTTAGCAGACTTATATCCAGCTGTTTCACAGATTCGGATGCGTAAGAAAAGGTAGGGGATACGACAAAGAACTTTTCTCGAAGGGAAAAGTGCTGCAAAATTTGTAAAAGTAAAGAAAAATATGACAAACTATAAATGTTTTCTCGTTTGTTTCGAAAGTAGTATGTACACCTCAGAAGAATATAACTTTTTAACAACGCTACGTTCAAACATTGTGTTTTCTAATAATACTACCGACAAAAGAAACTCAAAGCCAAAATTACATAAACAAGAAAATAGGCCGAGAATGTAAACGGTAAAACAGATTTAATTATACAAGAAAATATTTAACAAGAAAAGATAGAGTAAACGGAAGTAAATAAAGTCGATTTTCATTAGCACGATTAGTATATTGTACTTGATAAATTCGATTGTGTCCATCTTCGCTAAACAATAGACTCCCATCTTTCATTATCAATAGACCCACTGGGCGACCAAATGTGTCCGGCCCAGATGGATTTGTCAGGAATCCATAAACAAAGTTTTCGTAATAACCTACTGGACGATTATCAGAACCAAATGGAATGAATACAATTGAATAACCGGTGCCAAGATTTTTATTCCATGAACCATGAAAGGCAGCAAATGCACCATTAAGATAGTGCTGTGGAAATTTGGATTCTGTATAAAATTTCATATCCAATACAGCTGAATGTGCTTGGAAAAGAACGTCCGGTATTTTTGTTTGACTTACAAGAGTCGCATTCTCACTTGTTCCGTTGCTGTAATTTCGTCGTGGATCGATGTTGTTCGGACTCAAGTACGCATAGGGCCAACCAAAGAAATCTCCCTGTTGAATACGAGTGAAATAATCTGGCACCAAATCATCACCTAATCCGTCGCGCTCTTGCACACATACATACAAATCATTTGATATTGGATGAAATGCAATTCCAATTGGATTTCGTGTTCCCCATGTGAATGTTGTCTGATTCGTTCCATCTATATTACATGCTTGTACGGACGCACGTGGTAGCAGTTCAGGATCAACATTCGTCGCCGAACCGATACCAACATATATTCGATCATTAGTCGGTGAAACAACTAACGACCGCGTTGAATGTCCAGCACTTGGACTTATGGATGTGTAGGTCATGATCACCTCACCTGTTCCATTGATCATTCGAGTGCCATTTGTGTATGGATACCGTCGAAGATCTCCTTCATTTCCAACATAAAAATATCCTTGTGTAAATGCCATTCCATAGCAATTGTTTAACCCGTTTGTTACATCAGCAAATGTATGTGTTTGTGTTGGGTCTCCGTCGATCATAATTGTGATTTTATTTGCTGCTGGTTCACTCACTAAAATATCACCAGTCGGGGTATAAATCATTGCACGTGGATTTGATAAGCCATCTTTATAGAGCTTAACCGTGAAATTTTGCGGTACATACAACAATGGATTAGACGGTATAGGTACAATATTTGGAAATTTTGTTGCAGATTGGGAGGCATAGGGAGCAGGCAGAGTGCCAACAGTAATATTGATTATAGACGGGGTGAATGCAATATTATCACATTTGATGGTGGTAGCCGATATGAGCAAAAGAAAACTAAAACCGAAGATCATTTTAAGTATCTAAACAAGAAAAGTATATTTTGAAGGAAAAGTTCAGTTTTTACTTATTACAATAAGCATTTTTTGTCCATTTTGAATGAGAATATTTAAAAAAAATAATAGGATGAGCAATTTTCACGAGTATTTCACCAAATGAATCGTGAAACAGGACTTGATGAAATTAGAACGAAAATTTTAACACACCTAGAAGTGAAGCATAATATGGAAGGCAAATATGTGAAAAGAAAATGTATGACTAGACCGGGAATCGAAGCCAGGACTTTGTGGTAACAGGCCAGACGCTCTAATCACTGAGCTATAGAAGTACGATCTAACATACACTCTCAGTTCACATGAATGATTTAACTATCTGAGTCGCGAATACAGACTCAGTATCCGTTGCACAACGAGTAGTAGTACTGCGTTGTGTAGCTCAGTAGTTAGAGCGTCTGGCCTGTTACCACAAAGTCCTTGCTTCGACTCCCAGTCGAGCCATACATTTTCTTTCCACATATTTGTCTTTCATATTACGTCTCACTTCTAGCTGTGTTAAAATTTACTTTCTAATTTCATCAAGTCCTGTTTCACAATTCATTTGGTGAAATACCTGTCAAAATTGCTCATGTTCTTAATATTTTCTAATGATTTACCTTGTCTGTTAGAATTCTCACTGTTTACTTTGGACAAAGAAACTTTTCACTCGTAATACACATAAAAAGACAAATATATTTTTTTCTTCCTTCTGTTTTATATTTATTGCGCATTCATAAAAAAGTAAAATGTGTATACATACATAACAGGTGAATCAGGCTATGTGCATATGATGATTGACTATAAAGAACAACCTTGGTATAGTACGTGGACAGCGATAAAAAAATATGCTTCTTCCCTGCATTCTTAGTTTTATTCTATTACCTATACTAGTACTCTTTGAACAAAAAGAGGATGAAAACCTATGGTTTCCACCACTCGAAAGAATGAATTGTACGCCAGCATGCATTTAGCAAGATATTCTGTTATTCACTCACCATACCAGTTCGTTAGTTTACTGTCTTGTACTAATACTTGAGCAGCGTACCGAGATATTCACTATTCTACATTATAGAGGGCGCTGTTTTGGGGAATATCTCGGTAATCGTAGCTGGTGAGAAAAGGCTGAAAACGGGAAATGAAATCTCATTTGACTCTTGTTTACATTTGTATCATTCAATGATTTGCTAACGGATAAAAACGAAAAAGTGCAAGAAATAAGCATATTTTTTTATTGCTATCCACGTACTAGTACAAGGCAGTAAACAAACGAACTGGTATGGTGAGTGAACAACAGAATATCTTGCTAAAAAGTGAAAAGACATCTTTAGGTCTGTTCTTTCGAGTGATGGAAACCATAGATCTCAACCTCTTTTTGTTCAAAAAGTACTTAAAAACTGACCAACATCATTGATTTTAGAATAAATAGTTGAAGCACTGTACAAAGAGTGGCTCTATTCTTCAAGACGAACCAGTATAAAAAAGAAGTCGGTTTGTTTCAGTTCTGTACTTATATATGCAATAATAAGTTAAACTCACAAAACATACATCATACCATCAGAGGCAATAACAGAGAAGAAATGCATAAAAGAATAACATAAAATAGCTGAAACTACCGACTTACAAAGAATATAATTACAATATTTTTAAATATTCTTCTTTCTTCTGTTCTTACAACCTTTTACGGTACAGATTGCGAGAGAACAACGTGTAAGTTTTAGGTTGTCTTCTAGAAAAAAGTTCGCAGTCTCACAAAGTCGTGAATGATTATGCACACACACAATATATGTATAAAACTCTTAATTGCTAATGAAATTAGATGTCACATGATTATTTAAACGCATCGTATTTCAATAGAATCATCTAGTAATAGTCAACATTCAAGATAATGTCCATTGCTCGTTCACATTCTCATCCAAACGTAACGGATTATTATCGTATAAACCACCATTGAAAGATGTGATGAATGACACTTGTCGAAACACGTAAAGATTTATCTCATCACAATACAACTATTTAGTCAATGCTCGCTATTTTAGATGCACAAGATACTCATGGAATATTATGAGTTTTAAATCAGTTATACAATGATTTAAAATAATATTTACTCGTTTAACGGCCTAGATTTACTAGCTGAACCATTGAATTTATACATAAATGTATATATTATAAAGATTAAATGCGGCAAAACACAATAGGTTATGAATAAACTCATACAGAAACCAGAATTATCGAACAATAACGTACATACATGGTGATAGCTTTTGAAGAAAAACCAATGATGAAAAGATTATTGGTCAATAGTAGCTTCAAATTTTGTAATTTAAGTAATACTTACTCACCCGCAGATCATTTTGGGCCGTAGTATTAAGCAAAAAATTAAAGTGGTGAGGGTATGGAAAATTATAATTTGGAATGACTTTAAATTTTCGAGAAAAAAAGTATTCATGATGAGACGGATATGTTAGGTAAAACAGACACAGATAGCTTAGTAACACTATAGATGTCTGCAGTACTTCAGGTGCTTTCAAAGCCATCCTCACCAACAGTTTCTAACTGTAAACTGTTAACTGGTAACTGAACTTCTTGCTTTGATTAATAATGAATTGGCAGCTGAAAAAGCATCATGAGCAGAAAATTAGGGAAGAAATCAGAAACTCCATTAGAGGTTAAACTAAAAAAGAAGTTGCAAATGCGTTTAAATTTGAAATTAGTTTTAGATCTATTCTGACCGACCGATTCGATAACAGTAACGTGCGGTTTTTACAAACAAGAAAGTCATCGTTAACTGGACTTTAGTACACGAACACTTTCTTGGAAAATCAGATTCAACTGAAGTTATGAAAGGTATCAATTTAAATAATGTTATTTTTAATTTTAAAAGTCGACATGTAAAAAGAGGCTATATATGCTTCAATCAGTCGCAAAGAGATAAATCGGGTAGGTCAGGATATGCTAAAATGACTTTTTTGTTTAACTAAATCCTGTCGGTTACTAAATCTTCATTCATTCATTTAATCGCTTTAAATTGCCAATTGTAGTTCATGTTGCAAAGACGAGAAAAGACACATCATTAAGTAACGAGGGGAAAGTACATAAGCAAGGAGAAAAAGCTTCGATCTATGCTCAGAAGCATATGTGAAGGCCCCTTTTTATATAAAAATGATTAAGTTTTAGTCCAAAGAAAAGACAGGAATTAAAACAAGTTGTTTGTTTCTAGACTCTCTTGAAAAAAACAAAAACAGACACTCAGCGAAATTTTGGTTAAAAAAGGTTTCTCAGTTATCAAACAAAAGAAAAATAGAAATCCATATGTCGATGTTTCTAACGTGTAAACAGTTGTTACTTGCGCTTTTATGGTTAAATATGTTTCTTTGTGCTCTATCATATTGTTCTGGTTGTTTGACAACCCTTGAACTATCTGCAAATATATGTGGTAACTCCATAACTAATTCATTTTTTACTAAATCAACCACCTGTTTGTTTATCGATCACCTTTACTTTTCAGCGTTAATTTAAATTTCCATATACCACTAGTTAAGGGAGCATATGATTCAACTTTAAGTATAGTACCCATTGTAAACAGAATTTCATTTTCCATCGAAACGTAACTTAAATCTTTAACAAAAGCAGATGGTTTTGTACATTCTTTAACATCTCTAAGTATTATTTCATACAGAATAGCGTCATGTATGACGGTTTTTCAACAAAGGAGGGGGCCGCATAAGGTCAGGAATCGGCCCACTCTCTTTTTTGACTAAAAATGGATCCATATGTAGTAAAAAAAGTGCCTCTATTCCGTTTTCGATAAAATCAGATACTTTTGCCACGTAAAACCCGGTTAATTCCTGAACAATAGCATCTCAATAAGCACCGTTAAAAAGCCACCATATGATCAGT